ATATTACAATTACTTAAGATTCTCTTGATTGGTTCTGTGACACCTTGAATGTATGGAACTATTGCAAAATCTTTAACAGAGGTATCACCCTCGGAGTTATTTTGGTTCCTACAAACAGGTGGTCTCAGGCAATTATTAAGAAAACGCTTTGGGTAATTGTTTTCCCCTAAAACATTTAGAACATATTCACGTTCATTAGCTTCAGAATCACTGTTTGACGGCAACGATTCAGCTCTTTGAAGCAAAGTTTTTGCTACGGATCTTTGATGGCTTACTGGGTGATGAGAGTCGTATAACAAGTATTTGTCTGTGTGTGTGGGTTTGCGATAAACATCAGTCTCTAACTTCCCTTCGACAGTTCTGTGTACATTCAAATCTAAAAAAGCTAAATGTCCATTTATCTCACGTTCTACCGTGAATTGGATGGACGGTTCAATAGAATTTAAATGTTGCAGCAGAATATCGATCTCATTTGTAGAACCCGCAGAGATGACATCATCGACGAAACGTTTCCAAAACGATAGGGACACTGGAACAGAGGCTAAAGCTCTTTGTTCGACATCTTCCATTACTAAATTAGCAATTACTGCCGAAACTGGTGACCCCATCGCTGTTCCAAAAACCTGTTGATAATAACAGCCTTCAAACACAAAGTATGTGGCGTTGAGACAAAAAGACAGAAGATCAATAATATCTTCTACAGGCAAGGATGTTCTTTGTAACAAAGTGGCATCCTGTCTTAGTCTTTTTGCCGCAACCTTGATGGCAAGATCAACTGGGATATTTGTAAACAAGGAAACGACATCAAATGATACCAACACTTGACCTGCTTTAAGAGTTTTACCTCTTACAAATTCTGCAAAATGACAGGAATTTTTGACAGTGTTTTCGGTATTTCCCACCACAGGGGACAAAATTTTCGCCAAAAAACTTGAAACTCCATATGTAGGAGAATTCACAAAGGACACAATAGGTCTCAATGGAATTTCCGGTTTATGGATTTTCGGTAAACCATAGAAACGCGGAGATAGTCTATCACTGCTGTATAACTTTTCATATGTAGCCTTGCTGATAATATTGGATTTCTTCAAAAGAAGTAACTTGGCGTTTAAACCTCTTTGATTCTTTCCAGTAAGATCAGACTTGAGAATAGAATACGTATTTCTGTCATTCAACAGTGAAAGAGCCTTCTCGCGATAATCATGTTTGTCCATAACAACAACGCAATTGCCTTTGTCCGCTGAAAGTATAACCCTGTCCGGATCTTTTTTAAGAGCAAGTAAAGCTTTGAAAACATTCGAATCAATGTTTTTTGGAGGTATTTTGGCACGTCTAAGAATGCTACTGACCTCAGCTCTTGGCTTTTTATTGAAGCCTTCTCTCAGTTACACTTGTAGATAGATTTTTACTGACTTTACTGTATATCAAATAATCTTTTAAAACTTGAAACATACTATAGACTCAAATGCATATGATTATCATTATTATTCGTATCATTCAATCTATTAGAGAGTAAAGCGCGCTATTGAACTTTTCTGATCTTTTCAGAAAGCAGCGCCATATAGAAATTTGAACTATTATTTATTATTATTATGTCCAAGATTGTGGTATAATGGGTAATGTCTAATGACGTTATCGCTCAGGTAAAAAGTTTTGTCTGTCTGACTGTGTCGCACCATGAAAACTAACAATACTTTCAAGCAAATACTTAAATGATTTTGTTCTACCTCTCGTTTCTTCGCTTCATTCTTGCGATACTTGGGAAAGAGTTTTGCAAAGACATTTCCGCAACAACAAGCCACATGTACAAGTGGACCTTCCTTGCCAAGACTTAACCCAGCCGCTACAGCCAGCATCATACCAAGAGACTTAACAATCAAAGTCCATAGTCCAAAATAACCGTGAATTATAAACCCACCAAGCATAGTCTTGATCTGAATAAAAGATAGAATAATAAATAATAATTAATATAATATAGGGTGTATCAGAAAAAAGTAGAAAATTTTGAAAAGGCAGTCTCAATTTCAAAAATCCGTTCATGTCATTAAATTTTTGATAAATTTAATTTCAATAAAAATACAGTTCAAGAAACATAAACACAACATTTTGTGATTTTGTGCTTTGAGATCAACATAGGCATATGGACAGAAGGTCGGGTAGAGAAAATTTGCCCAACATTGTTGGACATTGCATTGCCCGACATTAATTGTCATTGTAGATTAATTGTAGATTGCTCAACATTAATTATCATTGATAGATGATAAAAAGAAACAATACATCTCTCATACAGATGCATTCAAAATGAAGTCAATTTAACAATGATAAACAAAAATATATAAAACTATATTCACAAGCATTTCTGGAATTTCATTCTGTACATTGAAAACTTCTCACTCTACAGCATCCAGTTTGAATGAATTTCAATGTGTTATTCAGTTTCCATCTATTTATATTAATTATATTAATATCTCAACAATAATATGCAAAATATAGGCCTTAGGTTAGCAAAGTACTGTAGAATCTGCCCGACTAAGCACTGATCACTAAGGCTGTCTAGGGGACTGCTGCCCTCCCCTCCCCCACCCCAGCATGTCTTGTATGCCTATGGAGATCAAGGTTCTGCAGCTGCTTCATAATTAAGACATTAAGAGGAGATTTTTTTGTATGTTACGTAACACGCGCTCAAAACTAATGCGTATAATATATCACTTGAGACATAGGCGTACCGGGCGGGGGGCGTCGTTTTTGGGCAGTCGAGCAATATTCGATCAACAGTCGGGCAATTTTGGTTTGCAATAAAAAAAAAATGGGAGAAATTCTGTCAATTTTAAGTAATTTTTTTTGGCAAATTTTGTGATTTTTGAAAAATTTGTGTTATGTTCGGAAAAATATTGTTTGTCCGGAAAATTTTTTTGACCCCTAAAATGGTACACTGACCGAAATTTTTCGCCAAAATAATTTTTCCGGAAAAAATTTTTTGGTACTAGTCGGGCAGAATCCCGAAAAGTCGTGCAATTTTCTTTCCGCCCCCCTAATTTTTTCCTTCCGGTACGCCCATGACTTGAGGTTATGACTAAATTCAAAATTTTTATTTTTCGATACGTTTCTCAATTGGCAAACAAGCTTAAAAAGTATGTTTAGTGCTTTATCTGTAAAATAATGCTAAAATGAAGAGATTTTAGATGATACGCCAAAGAGAAAATAATGTCTGAAGTTCAGAAAGTTTTGCTTATATGGCTGTAAATATGGCGTCAGTTTTAAATTAAGCATCACTGGTAATTGTATTTTAATTGACAATTTTTAACTATTATTTTATGTTTCTCAACCGGCAGATGCATTTAAAAAGGTAGCTAACTCTATAAACTAGAGAATAAAGCTAGAACAAAGTAATTTTGAGAGGAACGCCAAAAAGATTTTAGGTTTTGAACACTTTTCATTGCGAATATGTGACAATGAAAAACATTGCCTTTTAATGTCAATTGAATTAACTGTATCACAGGATAGTGATTGGCTCATTAAACTTTTAAAACAGGATCTAGCTGTCTAGTAGGTGATCATTGTTTTCATTTTATCATTTTTCTGAGTGTGTAAGATTATAGCAAAGAGATTAATCATAGATATGCTAATTAACTCATTAAGATTAATAGTGTTTACAGTGTAAAGTAATAAAGTAGGGTGCGCATCAGGGTACATTGTCATTTAAAGGGTTAATTTAGCAGGATGCATGGCCATTGAGTGGCAACTGGCACTTGATCCTCTTGATGAATAAAATTGTCTTACATTAGACAGAGTAAAGTAAGGGACTGCTCATTAGTTATTGTGCAGGGGGGGGGATTGAGGAGAAACTGGGGGGGGCTTTAAATTTTTTAAAACCCGAAAGGGGG